GACAGAGGAGGGTCAGGGTGGATATCAGGAAAAGATTCTTCATCAGAGGTGGTGGAACAGGCTCCCCAGAGCAGTAGTCATGGCATTGAGCTCACCAGAGATCAGGAAGTGACCCAGAACAACGCTCTCAAATGTACAGTCTGATTTTTGGGTGGTCCTATGTGATACCAAGAGTTGGACTTGATGATTCTTCTGGGTCCCTTCCAAATCCAGACATTCTATGATTCTATGACTTGGGAGAGCCTCACGTGAGCTGTGTGTTGCATAACTCCAACGCACAGTATTGAAAAGTGTTTGCTACAGAAAAAGCTGGAGCTACATGAATGAGAATATGATGCCAGCCCACTGTGCCTTCTTTCAGTTTTATGCACATATTTTAAGCTACATCCATATCCTCTTATTTCTCATTGCCTGTGTTGGTCCTGGCACATCGAGGGCTGCTGTATGTGGTGCTCAGAGAAACTCAATGCTTCTCTCCATAAAACCTGCTCCTTAGAGAGGGCTAAGTGTGACACTCTTCGATTATGTGATGTTCACACTGAAGAAACAAGTTACAGAATTGCCTTTGAACTAGTCCAGGAACATAAATACACTTTTTCTGTTGCTTTGATTAGCAATAGAAGTTGCTATTTGAAGTTCAGGGCAAAGCTTTAAAGCCTGAAATTGTATAGGGAGAGAGAGGAGATGGCAGAACATCAGAAAATAAAATAATCAAATAAGGATTACATTCAAAACTCCAACTTCCTGACCATATGGTGCTTCTGGGTATAGCACTACCCTATACTTCCTGAGATAAGTTAAATGCAAGCTGAACACCCCAGCTCCTCAACTGAATATATATCTATCAGGGTCAACAGCTAGCTGGGTTTGAGTTCAGTCACTTTGTTCCTATGGAAAATTCTCCTATTCTCCAATGATGAAAGTTTCCTGCAGTGTGAAATCTTTATTGGTTAATTCTTCCTGGGAGCCACTCATCTTGACTTTGTCCAATGTTTTGCAAAATTCAAGATTTAGGCTCATTATATTAAGAAAAGGATTCAAGTCTCTTCCAAACCTCACAATGACATCCTCTCCTGCTGCATAGTCTCATCCTGGGCTGGACATGGGTAGAAAAAACTAGTCCTTTTCACGTCATCTAAGACTGATGACCATCAAAGCATTTTACCTGGGGCAAAAAGAAAGGCCAGATTTCAAGAGAGCACAGCCTGTCAATGAGACTGGGGTCCTTGAAGCTGGTGGAATTTTTTTTAAGTCATTCACAAATACTATATCTACACTTGACAGGTCATTTCATTCTATTTAGCAATTTTTATTCTCTGTGGTTTATAAGCTCTTAAGCAAATGCAAGAGAAGGAAAAGCTAAGGTGTCTGATTATACACTACATCAGGCTGACAGCCTAACTGAATTTCCCCTGTGGTATTAGCAAAACATTGTTCCAAAAAAAAAGTAATAATGCACACAGAAAAAAAAAAAGGAAAAAAAAAAGAGGAGAAAAGGGGGAAAAATGATCACAGAGATCATACCGTTACATTTAATTTCAGAGAACAAAACCTAAAGCTGATTTCTCTTTAGATCAGTTGTATACCAGTTGGAACATGGGTGCCTAGCACTGCGACTCAGTAATATGATCTGAGCTTTAAATAGCTGCCAAATAACCATGTGGTGGCTGGCAGCACTGAACGTGTTGCAATGAGAGTGATCTGTTTCAAAGTAAACCCACATAACAGAGGATAAGTCAATCTGATGTGATAGAGTAAAGGAGTGGAGGGGATAACATTTTTCATTATCTTTCTGGGTTTCATTCTTCCTAAAAGTGCTTCCATCTTAGATAAGGATTTATTTGAGGTCTTTTCCTTAGCCAGTTTAAAACTTGAATTGCATGCAGGTCATTTCAGAGGATGCCTCCCTCCGCAGCCAAGGCACAGGCTGGGGTCAGTGATGTGCCAAATGTGAAATATCATCGTGATGGCACCGAGACTGTCTCATTGCTGAAACCATATTCAGAGTCACTGCTTTCCAGCATGAAAGCACCTTGCATGTGTACATATTCCCCTTACTGTCTACCAAATGCATCCTTGACCATTTTTAGGAAAGGGTAAGGAACAGATCTACAGCAAATAAGCTGGGGTGACTTCTGCTCCAGGCACTCCTCTTATCCTCACAGCAAAGCCTGGTAGCATGGTAGCATGCCATGAGGTCCATCTTAGGGAAATACCAGATGCAGAGTTTAGAGGTGTCAGACAGGAGGATGCTGCCAGCCCTCCTTTCCTTCTTACCTTCATGCCAAAATGCTCTTCTGATCCCTACTGCTAATGTGTTTCCTGTGTAGATGACCAACATTTTGGACTAGAAGGACAGACTAGCAAACTGATTAAGACACGCAGATGAAAAAGTGGTGCTGTCTATGCTTAAGAATTCTTCATCCCTCCTGAAACTTTAGATCCTAGATAATTGCTTATATATTATTGACTTTAGCATCTCTGTGGACTTCAGCAGCAGGAATCCATGTTTTCTCTAAAAGTGAACACAGCAGAATTTCAGCATACTTTATTTTGTCTTCCCTGCGTGGAAATCACACCACTGGAAATAGCGATTGGAACAGGAGAGAGAGAAGAAAACCCAGTTGTTCCATCAAAAGATAAATAGCTCTTTTAAGAAGTTCAATCTGACTTCTTAGTAATTAACACAATGTATGTGGCAGACAGTAGGATTTTGTATGAATGGAGACAGCAGCACAGGCACTACTTGTGAGCGTCCTACTAGCAGCTTATTAGCTCGCCACAGAGCGCAGACCCAGCTGCAGAGACATCCTGCAGAGAAACAGATCAGCCTTTATGATGCATTTCCTAAAAGGCAAATATTGCTTTAGCTCCCTAACATAAACGTCAACAGATGACCACACGTTTCATCAAGGTCAACTCCAGAGAAACTTCCAGCAGCCACCCCAATGAGTGTCAAGGATAAACCAGGGGCACATCCTTTCCCGTCTGTTTGTGTCAGCAGCTGCCTTTGCCGCATCGTGTCAGCATGCCCCCTGGGAATCTGCAACAGCTGCACAGCAGGCTGGCAGAGAGCAGTGCAGAGGGACAATCAGCCTTTCTTCTTGCCTCCATCCCCTCGTTTTTGCACTGCCGCTGTGGGCAGTCACTGTCCTCACCAGATTTGCTCTGGACAATCAGATGATCAGATTGAAACTAATAAAAAAAATCTTTCTTACCTACCCATTCCTTTCACCATCACTTTTCCAGACACGTGACTTTAAAAAAAAAATCTCTGCTGATTTGATCACAGGCTGTTGAGCCAGCCAGGCAATTAAAAGCAACCCCCAAAACCAATAGTTTTGCAGGGAATGGAGTTCTTTGACCAATTTCACAGAATATTTTGATTACAGTATCTAATCCCCTTTACAATCTTTTACCCAGTTTTAATCATGATAATCCCTGTAAGGATTTTCTGGACGAAAACAAAAAATGTCTGGAAGAGTGCTACAGAGGGAGTCTCCTTAGCTGGTCTGTCTTCCCACAGTTCTGACAAACTCTGGGCAGCCTGGTCTGGTGGTTGGCAACTCTGCACATAGCAGGGCAGTTGAAACTAGATGATCACTGTGGTCCTTTTCAACCCAGACCATTCTGTGATTCTATGCTTCTATGAAAACCATTCCTGTGCACATAGATTTTAATGAAACCAGAAGTACAGAGGTAAGAATATGCTTTTAGGTAACATTTACATGGAAATGCTTCCCTACAACCCAACACCCTGGTCTATGACAGCTGCTTGTCACTTGTACATCACATGTGCTCAGTGAAACCCCTGTCTTGGTGTGCACAAACAACCTGTCTGTACCTCTCAGAAGGAATCTCTCAGGTCTACCATTAGGAGAAGAAAATGGTATCCAATTAAAGCAAATGGATAGAGCTACAGACTAGTGCCAAAAGTTTAAGTCTGAGTGAAGAATTTATGAGGGCTTAAGCAATTTCTACTGACGCCAGAAAGGCTCCCTGAAGTTTCTAAGAGAACTGTCAGAAACACCTTGGATGTTCAATGGCCATTACTCCCGCAGCCTGACCCAAAGAGCTGCCTCTGAGAGATGGTGTCTTGCCCATAGGAGTGTAGCTAATTTAGCTGACTAATGAAGAGAGCCCTGAAGATGCACATGGGCTGAATTAAGGGCTCCACAGGAGCCTTTGGCTCATTCCTTGCAGAGTTTATTAGTTGCTGCTGCACACATGGCTAAGTTCCTGGAAGAAGTCCAGCTCTGAGGCACCTCTCAATTCCTCCAGCTTCTAAAGCTTGCAAGAAAGTGGCTCGAGTGTTTTGCCTCCTCTAAGCTCCTGTGTAGAAGGCCTCCCCCCCGCAGAGAACCGACAGGCTTCGGGAGGGGTGTGCAGCCCAATGACTCCCAGTTATTGAATTTACCTCCCCAATTACTGTTGAGTGTCCTAGACTGTAAAGGGGTAAATACCAACAGACTGTATTATTTGAGAAACAGTATGCAATTGTGTAATTAAAGGCAGGTGTGTAACGCCATGTGCAGCAGAGGAAGGGTAAATTTCAGCATTTCCTGATTAACCAAGGGCATTATGGTGTAAACCTAATGTTCTCAAGATGGCTATCATTTATGTGGAGTTCATGTATAAGTTTATGAATATTTGGTTAAAATTCACCCATCATACCCTCGTACACAGTAATTAAAAACATCATGTTAGTAGCCTATAAAAATATTTTTGTGATTTGGTAATTATTCCAAACATCAGAGTTCTGTGCTCCTCTACCCCCTGCCCTTGTTTCTTCCTGTTCTATATTGTATCAAGCTAATCTTGGTGATGGAAAAATAAATAAGTAGCAGGGGAGTTTGGAAACCTTCCAATCACAAAAGCTCCTGAAACTGAAGCAATATCCAATCTAGTTTACCACATCTTCTAGGTGGGCACTCCTTTCCTGCCTTTTAGTGATGCTTTTAGTATTCAGAACAGCTGTGGAATTAAGCATTACAAACGAGAAGAAACCAACATGCAGTCTTTATTTTTCCCCATCAGTTCCATTGAGTTATTAGGTTACAAAGTGAAAATGAACACACTCTCAGACGGATTTAATTTCAGTTTGGGCCCAATGCCAGACAAAGCAAGTTTCCTCATAGTTCTCCACCCCATCTTTTCTCTACCATGCATATAGTCCCATCCTCACTCCATCTTACATTCACATATACCAAGAACAAGCTACTTCTACAGCACAGAACCAGATCCTCCTCCCTTGCTGCCTTTGCTTGTCTTGTTGCTTTCCAAGGGATGACTAGCAGCCAGGCCAGATCTGGTTTGTAATGCAGATTTTTAATATTTAAGAAAATGTTGGCTACATAAAATATACATTTTCATACTCTGGGTGTTACCATCACAGTAAATCTTTCCTGTTACATCACCAGGGAAATGTTTCTGGGAGGAGCCAATTACTCCCAGATTTCAAAAATAAATCAAATACTTGATTAAAATATTAAAGCTATAATTCAAAGTACAGTTTTTTGGCATAAGGTTAACTAGTGATTTAGATATGGTATTTTGGCTTACAAAATCATGCAACAAACATGAATTTCAGAATACACGAGTATACAGCATCAGCAAATCCATACAGAAAGGAGAAATGTAACAGAAGCAGTTAAGCTTTTACACGTACAGACTAGCACCAAATTGCTATTCACTGCAATTGTCTTCTTTCTTGCCCTCTTCCCATGGACTCTTCATGAACAACTGCACTCTATTTTTATAGACTGCAGATGTTTGGTTGCATCAAAGCTAAGGCAAGTAGTGGAAAACAGGAGAGGAGGTAGATTTAATTACTGTGTTTGAACATTTGTTTTCCCTCCATCTTGTACCATTCTCCACAAGTAGAAGCACATGATCAATACTAAAAGACAAATGTATAAAATGTTGATTTGGCCCATTTCATATTGGGCTTTTGGTTGCAGAATATTTTTGTCTTCTTCTGGTTTGCAAAACTGCAAAAATGCTGCAAATAATACACTGTGGAGAATTATGTGTGTACTTCCTATAGAATTAAAAGGGGTATTAAAGGTGGTTTCTTCCTGTGTTGAGTTTTGTGTCCTTTACTGTTAAACAAGTAACAGAAGAAATTCCGTAAGTGTGCCTGCATACTTAGGATTGTCATAACGGTGATGATACACAAAATTGTGTCATGAAGTTTCATTAGGATTCCTATACTCCGTTAGGCAGTGTATGACTAGTCTGAATTTAAATAAATGGCACGCCCTACCAACAAGAACAGCATGCCTGCTAATAAAGCAAAAAATACTCCTATTGGAGCCAGCATGAAAGACCAGCCATAGCGTACATAAACAGCAAAGTCTGGGCAATCCATTTTTTTCATGTTTGTGTAGTTTTCAAGATCAGCCATCGCCTGGACCCAGATGACATACATCACGACTACCAGTGAAAACAAGACACCTGGAAAAGAAACATCCAGTTTTAACAACAAATTGTGAGACAAATGCTGAGTGCATTTACTGGTTACAGTAATACCTAGAAATCCACCCATGTTTGCAGCCCCTCTGCAAGGCAGTCAGCCACTACTGGGTATTTTTTGCCCTTGGCTTCTTCTAACAAGCTTCTTTATTTCTCTGCCTTGCTTCTGATCTGCAATGGAAGTCACAATCTCGTGGCAAAGGGTACGTTTGGTTTTGGTGTGCAGACTGTGGCACAGTCATGTTTGAGGATAAAATTCACTGCTTTGAATTCAGAAGCCAGAGAAGGCGGAAGGAGAGAAGGTGGGATGGGGTGACCTGGAAAATAAATTCTATGTATGCTTCCCATTCTCTGATATTGTTTCTATCACAGTCTTTTGGATGACATATAAGGGGAAAAACAGTAAGGGGTAGGAAATCTTTCTATTCTCATCACCTCTCTACATTTTTGCCTCTTTTTTAATGAGAAGCACTTTGTTTGGAATATTTGGAGTATTCTTATCAAGTATTATGCAGACAAATTCAAATATATTTCGCTCAAAATCTTCCACATTAGAAAAGAAATTGCTGGTATATGAACAAAACCCAGTAATAATGAAGTAACCACTATGAAGCAGGTATTAGTATCAACTTCAGAGTGAATACAAGAGTTTCCTGGAATTAATCCACTTCATAATTCACAACTTTCTCCCAGCCACTCCTCTGAAAGGCCTTTGGATTGTATACACATGATAGCAATAGGAGCACATGTACTTACAAATTTTGCTAATCTCTTTGTTACTATAAACCAGAAGGAGATTTAAGAAGAAAATGCTTTCCAAAGTATCAGTTGCATGCCTAATCTTTTATTTTAGTTTAGAGGAATGTGGACACTTAGGAAAGGCAAGCCTGAAGCACAGATGCTCCAGCAGAAGATTCACTGGAAAGCTGAAGGCACAAGTCTGAATTTTTTGCATGCTCCAGCCTGTACCCACTTGCTCCCTGAGCTTCAGCTGTCGTAGTACATGGAATAGGAGCAGGGCTATCTATTCTAACATGAAAATATTAGGGGCACACCACCTATCTTTTCCTCTGATGACACATATACTTAATTACAACCATAAGGCAACACAGTACCTCTGGGAACACTTACTGCCAAACCTAAATCTGCAGGCTGAAGAGAGCAGAGTACAAGTCTAAGGTGCTTGAGGTCTCTTCCCAGTCCTGCTAAATACTTATTACAATACAGCCCTGAACAAATGTGACACTTGTGACAAAATCCGTAAATGCACTTTGAAAGTATCCACAAAGAGGCATTTGCCTCCAGATCCACTCATCCAGATATTCTTTCATGGTTCCCATTCCTTATCCCCATCATGAGATGCTCCCTCATCACTGCCTTTCCCTGCCATTACTATCCACTTAATGGGGAGCAATAGGAGTTGCATCAATCTCCCATTTGCTTCAGGCAAAATCAGACAGGTTGGCTTCCACAATTGATGATGGCGATCTGTTGACATTCTTGTTGTTGCTTTATTGTCAAAATGTAAGAAGTTTACATTCTGGATGTCCTGAACATTTGACAGGTGAAAGCTCACAACTCAGTGTTTATGATCATTGTTTTTTGAAGCCCATGAAAAAAAAAAAGCTGAAGTAGTTAACCTGAAAATCCCAAAAGAATTGCAATTTCTAAGAGACCGAAAGAGAAGAGAAAAACTTAAAATAAGAAGGAGGCAGGCACTTTTCCTGTCTATGAAATACAGTAATATATTTCCAGGATTACATTTTTTGCACAGGCTTGAATTCTTGACAAAGTTTAAAAAATAAACAGTGAAGGGAAAAACCCAACCCTCGACACTCAAAGGCATACATTCAATTTTGGAAGCATTTTACCCAAGAAAAACAAAATTTTGGCAGTATTTAGTGCTACAGTTGTATTAAACATACAACTGTTGAAACAATCATAAGGAGGGATCACCTCAGGGTCAGATAAAAAATAAAAAAGTAAATTAAATTGAAGACTCCAAATAAAAGTCAAATTGAGCAGAAGATTTCTGTAACAGAACATGTAACAGATAACATAGGCAACAAAGGCAAATTAGATCCAAACAGAGCTCATAAGTTTTGATGCAAAAAAGTGAAAAGATTCTGATCCAACTTCATAAAAGAAATTCTTAGGCATGGAGTTTGTTTAATGTTTCAAATGTCAACAACAAAAAAATGTCCCACAAACAACTCAATTATTTGGAAAAATACATTGATAAGATGGAAAAACCCAATCAAACATTGGAATTTATCTCTTCAGATGGCTGTGGCAGTTTCTTTTCAAATGCCCATAGTCTTCAATTTATCCTCTACGCTGGGGCAACCTTAATCCAAACGAATAATGAATACAGAAAGCAGTGATGTATATTGCCTTATGGCGTCAGATAAGTACAAGGCTTTGAACATCTGGAACACTTTTGACGTCCAGCCTCCTGGGCAGTCACAAAGATAAGCAGCCCAGTTAGTATGGAAGTCTTTGAGAGGTGCTTTAATCTCAAAAAGGGCACCCCTTATTCTTCAGGCAGTCTGAAGAAACACCTCAGTGGTTAAACTAGAGCTGACTGTACATAGGTGCAAAATAGCAAGCCAGTGCTGCCAGTGGTAAAACAACTTCAGCTAAGCTGAAATCCATCAGGTGATTTCACAGCAAGCTGCTAACACGCGTCTGTGGCAAATTGCTGGGTATGGAAATTTGCTCAAGAAATGTATGTCAAGCAGAGATAAATGTCCTTTAAAAAAGAAGAAAAAGGAGTGGAGAATATGTAAACCTTCTTAGTTAATTAGGCACTGAAAGAGTATTTAAGGGCTCTCACTATCTACTAATGGAAGCTAATTAGTAGGTATATTGTTCGGTGTTTTCAAGAAATGTCTTAAGCAAAGGAATCAGGCTAAGTAAAAACTGGCCAAGTCACATTGGCTCCAATAGATTTCATTTGTTACTGTTCATCTTGTCTAATTTTCACAGATTTATGATTCCATGGCAGTTAAGCTCTTACAGGGGAGCTTGCTGAGGCTCCTCTATGTTACAAATGGTTTCCCTTGCAAAAGGGAAACAGAAACATTTTTTCACAAATAGGCCCTCCATTTTGTCAGTGTGGTTTTGTTTCCTAAGATGTTAGAGTACATTAGAAGCAGTGGTGAGAACAGGAAAGCAGATCATGTACTTCCATTATCACTAATGCATCTGCTGAAAATGTTTGATGTTTAGGGCCAGGGGCATTGCTTCCTCTCCATCCATTAAGCACTTCAGGTTGTGCTTAAATGTGCAAGTCTCTGACTTGAAGGGTTTTTCCTCCTGGCATCCACACTGATTGCATCAAAACACCCAATTCAAAGGCAAGTTATGAGCTTAAAGAAAGGTTGCTATAGTTTGAATATTTAGCTGGTTGTTAGATTCTAAAAGAATTATGTTTCTTTTCAGAAGATATAACTTCACGTCAGTTCGCACTGTCACATTTTAACAAAACAGATGTTAACTTCAAGAAAAGTTTGAAAGAGAAGTAGTATCAAAAGCAGACCATAATTTGTTCAGTGGACTGGGTAGTACATAAGATTCAGATACATATAACATGAGATAGTTTTTGAAGACCACAAGACATTAACTGGGACATTAATTATGAACTGTAATAGGCATGTCAATTAGCAGTCACTACTTTATATGCTGACTACAAAAATGCAAAAATGTAGATCAAAAGTAGGGTTTATATCTGTTTTGAGGGGGAAAAGAAGAGAGCCATAGAAAAAAAACAGCCCGAGATTCAGAGGTTTTAAATATTCAGGTACTATTCTGGCTTTCAAAGGAGATTTGCTTCTCAAAGCCAGTTCAGATTTGCTTAACACATAACATAGGTATTTATAATAAGCATCCTTCTTTTGTCTATCCATCCTGCAACCTTGTACATATATCTACACTACTTCTGCAATGCTGTGCTTTTGTTATTCATACTAGAATCATAGAATTGTTTGAGTTGGAAGGGACGCTTAAAGGTCATTGAGTCCAACTCCCTTGCAATGGACAGGGACACCTACACCTAGATCAGGTGCTCAGATCCCCATCTAGCCTGACCTTGAGAGACCTTGAGGGATGGGGCATCCATCACCTCTCTGGGCAGCCTGTTTCAGTGCCTCACTACCCTCATTATAAAATGCTTCTTCTTTATATCCAGTCTAAGTCTCCCCTCTTTTATTTTGAAACCATTTCCCCTTATCCTATCACAACTGACCCTGCTAAAAACAGTCTATCCCTCTTCTTTCTTATAGCTCCCATTTAGATAATGAAAGACTACTATCAGGTGTCTCTGGGGCCTTCTGTTCTCGAGGCTGAACAGCCTCAGCAGTCTCATTCTTTCCTCACAGAAGAGGCATTCCATCCCTTGGATCATTCTTGTGGCCCTCCTCTGGACGTACTCCCAGCTCTGTGTCTCTCCTGTACTGAGGACTGCATGAGGACACAGTATTCCAGGCAAGGTCCCACCAGTGCAGAGTAGAGGAGCAGGATCACCTCCTTTGCCCTGCTGGCCACACTTCTTTTGATGCAGCCCAGGATAAGGTTGGCTTTCTGGGCTGGTGAATGTACATTCCACTGAAAAGTAGAATGAAAGTGAAAAGTGAAAAGTACATTCACTGGAATGTATTTAAACCAAAGGCATTGTAGTAACCACAAAATCTTGCTGAAAAATAATCTACCGTGGTCTGTTTAAGTATTTTAAACTAGCTCACTGGAAGATCACATAGTCACTCAATGGCTGAGTTTGAAGGCACCTATGAAGGCCATCTGGCCCAATCCCTGCTCCAGCAGGGCCACCTACAGCAGGGTGCCCAGAGTCCAGGTGGTTCCTGGAGATGTCCAAGGAAAGGATCCCACCACCTCTGGGCAGACTGTGCCAGTGTTCCATTATCTGCAGAACAAAGAAGTGCTGCCTGGTATTCAGAGGGAGCCTCCTGTGTTCCAGTTTGCAC